GCCGTCTCGCGCGCCCAGCCCTCCTCATGTGGTGTTTTGCAGTGTTGGGAGCCTCTCTCCCTCATCGATCTACGTGATCGCGCCTCATCCTCTTCGTCCTCCTTGCTCTACGGCCGTTCTCTTTTCACGGCAGGTTCGTGTCGTGCCGACGCGGCAGCGACCCCGCCGCGGGCGTTCAAGGTCAGTGGCCCAGAATCGGCCCTTAGGTAACGATTTGGCGATCGAAAAGCCGCCGATCGTTCAATGATGAACGATCTACGCGGTGTCAGGAAGTATCGCCGCGGTCGTCATGGTACCAACTTGCCGTACCCATGCTCGCTCGCTTAAAGTCCGTTCTCTTCTTTCGGCGGCCAGCCTGGGGGGGAAGTGAGGGGGCGGGCCTTCTCAGAAGGCTCAGAAGTCCTCTGGCCTTCTGAGAACTTGTCTAAGCTTTCCCCGAAGACGCAGAACATTTCCCGGAAGGCCAGAGGGCTTCTCAGACGCCCCGCCGCCTTCCGAGAAGGCCTTCTCCTTCTCAGTTCACCCGCCTCGCTCGCCGCCGGCTCATCTTCTTCGTCCTACTCCCCCTGCTTCACATCCGCTCCCTTTCCAGACCCCCGACGTCGTGACTGAGAAGGCCTTACGGCCGGTGCCGCCGACCCTGAAGACGATGACGACGACGAGGACGAGGAGAAGGAGGAGAAGGAGGACGATGAGGAAGAGCAGGAGAGCCCTCTTGGGGCATCCGGAGAGCTTCTTGGGGCCGAGGGCTCCAGATGTCCGTTCGGGTCCTCAGTCGGGCACCCTCTTGGAGCCGTCCTGGGCGCCCTTCGGGAGGAGGGAAGACGAGGAGGAGGAAGAGGAGGGGTGACCGAGGCGGGGGGGACAGGGGCAGGGGCCTCTGGGGGACAGTTCAGGAGCCTCTTCGAAGCCTTTTGGGGGCCTCTTGGGAGCCTCTTGGGGGCGTCTTGGAGCCTCCTGGGGTCCTCTTGGGGGCCTCTTGGGAGCCTCTCGGGGGCCGCCTAGGGTCTCTTGGGGGCCTCTTGGGGGCCTCTTGGTTCCTCCTGGAAGCCTATCGGGGCCGAGAGCTCGAAATGTCCGTTCTGGTCCCTGGTCTGGGCACCCTCTTGGAGCCGTCTTGCGGGCCTCTTGGGCCGTCTTGGATGCGTCTTGGGCCGTCTTGGCGTCCTCTTACAGGCCGTTTTGGGTCCCTCCTGGAGGACTCTTGGGCCGTCTTGGGCGATCTGGGGGGCCTCTTGGGCCGTCGTGGAGCGTCCGGAAGCGGAGGAGGTGAGAACGCCGAAATGCTTCAGAAACCGATGGGAAATCACAGATGTTTCCTCTTGGGGCTTTCTTGGGAGTGCTCCTGGAGGCTTGGGGCGTCTTGCAGGACCTTTTGGCCGTCTGGAAGCCGTCAAGGCGTCTTGGACAGATCGTTCGGCGATTCGGGGCCCTCTTGGACCGTCCTGCGGGCCTTTTGGGGCACTCTTGGCCCCTCCAGGAGCGGTTTTGGGCCCTGGGACCCCCAGTCGGGGAGTCGCGCATCTCACCCGGGGCTCCCCCCCAGAGAGCCTGTTTTTCATGACTCCGGCAAGTTTACTTGCATGGACGGGGGGGGGGCCGAACCCGAAGCAAGCCGCAAACGACTGGCACTCTTGTTCTTCCGGGGGGGGGGGCCTCAGGGCCACGCCAGTGCAAGGGCGTTTTGTCGGCTATGAAAGGCGCCTGAAGCGTTTACCGTGGGCGGCGTGCCATATGCCCACCTTCCCGAAGCCAGGTCCCCGTGACGATGCGTGCCCCTGGTTCCTGAGAGATGCCGCCACTCCTGGCTTGGGCCCCCAAAAACAAAAAAGTGCAAAACATCGCAACGCAACGCGAGGGCAAACAAAGCGGGACGAAACAGGGGTAACAATAACCAAACCATTACAGCGCAAGTCAAGACCAATTCAACGTAATGCAGTGCAACACGGCCAGGCGCGAAGCGGCGTATAAGCCATGCTGACCCATGGAGCGCAAAGCCACGCAAGGCGATAGAAACAATCACATTCGAACTAAAGGTAACGACAACCATAGCAGTTTGCAGCAAATCTACGGAGCTCAATCGAGTGAATGGCAATACAAATATGACGCCGGGCTGCGCAACCGCCTACAGCGAGTGAGCAGTTGTGTTCAGTTGCCTCCAGCTTGCCACAACGTTGTTAAGCGTTTATCTTTGATTGCGAACTGGCCCGTGCAGTGTGAGGAACGCGAGTGCAACATCGCCCACACAGCCATCTGGGAGCTCTTTGTCATGGCATGGCCCCAAGACGGCCCAAGAGGCCGTCCAGACGGCTCGCGGCGGCCAGACATCATTGAGGTTTCTGTGGTTTTTGCCAGATGTTCAGGTTCTCGCGATTTCGAGCCAAGAGCGGCCCAAGACGACTCCTGGGCCCCCCACGAATGCTCCAAGGCTCAAGGGGCTCTGGCAATGGACGAAGTCCAAGGGTTGTGGACGACGATCAATCGAGAGGACGCATGTAGCCTAACCACTTCCAGATGTCCAAAACATGTTTGATACATGTCTTAAAGATGTAAAAGACATGATCTAAACATTTCAAGGACATGTTTCAACCAGTTTAAGCACATCTCTAACTCAATGCTAGGACTGTTAGTGTGTCCACTGTCCTGGCATCCACAGTCCAAGGGTTCGCCCTAGTCTATATTACAATACCGGGAACAGTGCGTGCGAGAAGGGTTTCTGCACCGAGTGCGCTCCAGCGGCTGCGAGCCGCGGAAGAGGATGCCCCGACGGCCTCACGACGGCTCCGCGACGCTCCAGACGTTGCCCCGACGGCCCCAGAACGGCCCCGATCCGCTCAAGAGGGCGCCCCCGCGACCCCAAGATGGCTTCGAGCCGCTCCAGAGGCCACCCCGACGGCCCCATGGGGCGCTCCGAGCCGCTCAAGAGGCCGCTCCGACGGCCCCGAGGGCCCCCTGGACAGGCCAGGAGCCTCCAAAGACGGCCCCCGAGGATTCCCCTGGACAGCCCCCAGACGCAAAAGTCGCCCCACTCCCGTCGGAAAATTGGCATGTTTGGCATTCTCGTGCCTTTCGTCTCCGATGCGTCTACGACCGTCACGTGGCCCCCCAAGATCAACCCCAGATGCCCCCATCAGGGCCCCAACGTGGGTCCACGACGGCCCAAGAGGCGCCCAAGAAAGCCCCAGAGGCATTCAAAACAGCCCCAAAGACGGCCCCAGACGGCACATGACGGCCCGAAGGCGGCCCAATACGTTGAACGGAGGTCAAAGGCGAGCATCAGCGAGCACCGTGCCTACGTCCGACGCAACTGGGCTCAAGCGACGTCGCTCCTTATGACTGCGGCATCCGTGGCGCACTATCACAACTGAGTAACGGAAGAAGGATACGTCCACATCCTTCGATGGTGCATATTATCATCTCTTGCTTTATCTCTCATCTACCGACCTTTACCTCAGTATGGGAGAAGCTATGACATTCCACGGAACGTTTACGACGTTACCATAGCTGGGGTACCGGCTGCACCCTCACGGTTCACGTGGTAGCGGAGCTGGCCTCATCTTCAGGTGGTTGGCTCTTACACGGTGTGTTATGCACATAATGGCAAACCACGACACGGTGGGACATCCAATTGCACCGGCCATCAACACAAACACCCCCACCATTCACCAGCCAATTTGTAATATCTTATCCTATAACTCCCTCTCCCCACCGCGTGGCCACACGCCATACAACAGCACGGACCCTACACCCATTCGCAGACTAACGGACACGTCAGCTCAACAACGCATCGACCAAGACACGACCAACTACAAAATGAACATGCGTTACGTTCGAGTTATTATCTTTCGCGTTCTATGGGTGTGTCATGGTCCAGCAGTGGGGTGCATGCAGCGGGGAATGGACGACGCACGTACCAGAGGTCCCCGCTGGGACCCCGCCAGTAACATACCATTCCGCGAATTCGTCCGCGAAGTACATGCCTGGCCCAACGTTACAAATGGAGCCGCAACTCCACAACAAAACGGTGCAGTATTGCAGCGAGGTCTTGTAGGCCCAGCCAGGACCCTGGAAAGGAAGGTGCGGTCTACCATCATCAACTGCGGCGTGACCCTACAGGGTCGACGCAGAGATGGAGTTACATACATCATGTTCCTCCCCAGCGCCGATACCGAACATCTCGAGGACGAGCGACAGCTCACCTCGGGGACCGCCCTTGCCGCCTTCAGGGACGAAAGGGGCGAACGAATCGATGCGGTTTTATCGCGAGTCGAAATGGCCATACTGGAAGCATATCCGACTGGTTTCAACATACCGAACTTCCAGATCCTGACGCTCCTAGTATTCCGAGCTCTGGGTGTAGGCACCTCCCGAGCATCACAATTACTTCATCCAATAAATTACCAGATGCCCCGTACTCAACAACGACGCGTTGAATTGTTGGAGTGAGTGCGTAGCTATGGACACTTAGCTGAGCGCTCTCTTGGAAACACTGGAGCCATCTTTAGTTGCCGATGTGCCGGCACGTTCCGCGCAGACGCAAGGGACGCGCCCGCGGGGTCGCCTGGCAACGTCTGGGGCGATCAGGAGCCAAACGAAGCTATAACGCTTCTAGGCCAGGGAACTGGCAACGCACAAGCATCCGGCTCTAACAGCAGCTGGCCTGCTGCTGCCAGTTATACACCACCCACAGCCACTACCCCTGGGGGTTCATCAGACCAACAATACGGCGGCCCCTTTGACTCTGGAACTGACGCCGACACCTGCTCATCCGTTGGTTTTGCAGAGACCGATTGGTCAGACGTATCCGCTGGCAACGATCAAGCAGCATAGTACCTACACTTGGGATATCATCATGCCAGCAGAAGGTGGGGACGGCGTAAAAAAAGCAGTTCGGATATTTAGACGAGCAGTGCGACGGGGGCTCTATCGCAAGGGCAAGTGGCGCGGTAAGGGTGGTCAGCGTACTCGCGGGATGCATTAAAGGGGACTGGCCACGACTT